GAGGGGAGGGGAAGGGGGAGGGAGGACCTGGAATGTAATAGTCACCTAATAAAAAATTGTAATCCATAGCAGTAAACATTTTTCGTGCTGTAATATAAACCAAGGCATCAACTCAGGCACTTCCACCTACATTCTCTAAACTGAAATTCAGAAAGGACACACACTAAGGTCACAGGGCTAGTACGTGACATCAGGCTGGGAGGCCGACCCTGCACACAGGTAAGGGTGGAAGGCTAACCCTGCACTCTGGTCAGGGTGGAAAGCTAACCCTGCTCTCTGGTCAGGGTGGAAAGCTAACCCTGCACTCTAGTCAAGGTGGAAGGCCAACCCTGCACACTGGTCAGGGTGGAAGGCTAACCCTGCACTCTGGTCAGGGTGGAAGGCTAACCCTGCACACTGGTCAGGCTGGGAGGCTAACCCTGCACATTGCTCAAGCTTGAAGGCTAACCCTGCACGCTGGTCAGGCTGGGAGGCTAACTCAGTGTCAGGATCCATTTCCCCTCCTCCTTACTGCAATGCCCCTCAGTCACAGCACATTTGAGAGAGACAGAATCAAGGGGACAGAACAGATGAGCCCTGACCGAAATTCACTTGTCCATGAGCCAGGGTTGCGGCATAAGGGGAATGTCTGAGGGCTGGGCAACCTCCAACCCAAACCCTAGTAAATCAAACGTGCATTCTTAAGAGAAAGCCTTGAAGCAATTACACTTCCTCTTGTGAGAACTAAACCACCGCACATGCCCAGTGTGCCCTCTCCTGCACACAGACTTACTTGCAGGTATCTTGAAGAAAAGCTATAACAGTCATCAATACAATGCTTCCAAGTCATAGTTATTGCACGACTGCCTAAAAACTAGAACACAAAATCAAATCCTGAGAGCTGGGCACGGTAGCACAGCCTGTGATCGCAGCACGTGGGAGAGGGATGCAAGGGGATCAGAAATTCAAGGTCCTTCCTGGTGGCAGAGTGAGTCTGAGGACAGCCTGTGTGAGATACAGAGTGTCCTGCCTCGAAAACCAACCAACCAACCAAACCCAAAATCATGTTCGTTCAGAACAGGTGAAGTGATGAGTCAGTGATAATGCTGCCCTCCCTTGGTAAGGGAAGGTCACAGCCACACACAGGGACATACAGACACAGCTCGGGACCACTCAGCAGGACAGTCATAATCAGCATGCTGATTACTGATCCCATTCTATGGGTGTAAAACTGTGGTACAGTAGAAACAAACCTTAAATCTAGACCTCACCTTTCACCTCCCCTCACTATTGTGTGTGTACACACGACTGTGCATGTGGGGGAGGGCAGAGGTCCACATGTGTCTCCCTCCGTTCAGCTCCACTGCTGGCCAGCAAGCCTGGGTATCCTCCAGTGCCCACTTCAGAAGAGTTGTGACCACAGGTGTGTGCCACTGTGCCCAGGGTTTTAAGTGGGACTGAGGCTCTGAATTCAGATCCTCACGTTTCGGTGGGACACACCTGACCCATGGCCCCACTCCCTCCCCACATTATTTCTGAAGCAAAGTCTCAAGTGTGAAGTCGTCTACTTATTTTTGTGTGACTCTAAGTCTATTGGCCAAGCTTTCTGAGTCTTGGTCTGTAAAATCAGCTGCTGGGCTGTCCTGCTCTGAAACTCCCTATCATGTGGCTGAGTCAATGAGAGGCAAGGAAAACAGTCAGCTTGAATGTATTTGGCAGATGGCACAAAGCCATCCAAGACTCACCCTACCCAGGGAACAGAAAGGTTACCAGTGTCTAGCTGGGTTCCTCCCTAAGAAGGTGTGGACGCATTGTCTATTCCCCCAGCCCCTGGGACCTTGACAACAGCTCTTCTGCACAAGGTCTGCAGCCTCTCTTTCAAGGCCAGGCGGGGAGAACAGTGGCACTGGGTCAGAGGTCAGAGGTCGGACAGCAAAGGGCAGGAGGCATCATTTGGGAAGGGCACACGCACTCCAGGACCCAGCTCACCATCTGACAACTGGGTTGTGCTACACCGTTCTCATGGTTAAACATCTTCATCACAACCCGGCCATTACTGGGGTTTAAGATCTGAGGGCTGGGACTGATGGCACATGCCTGTGATCCCTGCTCTTGGGAAGCTAAGATAAAACACTTTAGACCAACCTGGGCAGCATGGTAAGACCCCACCTCAAAAAACAAGATAAAATATAATTAATTAAAAATAAAATTAAATAAATGAAATCGTTACCAAGAAAACCAGAAATATACTTACGGGAGCTCAGCAAGACTTTCATATCCTCCCAGGCTCTCAGCCAGAGTAAACAGCTGTGAAGAAAACCGAAATTTAGATCTTCTGATACCAGTAAATTGCTGGACTCTAAAAGCAAATGCTGTCAACGAAATATCCCTGGCACAGGAGGGATGAGGAATGGTTGTGACTAGGAATAAACTAAAGAAACTAAAAAGAAAAAAAAAGAACAAAGTCTACAGCAACCATTTCACTGATCACACATGCAGAACTAAGCCTGAGAAGCAGGGCCGGAGACGTGGCTCAGTCAAGAACGCAAACTGTCCCACAGACGACCCAAGTTCAGTTCCCGGCTCCAGGAGGATCTGACGCCTCTGAGGGCACCAACACTCAAATCCACACACATACACATAACTGAAACTAGTACAATAAAATTTTAAAGTCAATAGATAAGTGAAAAGCAGCTGGCCTGGTGGTACCGCCTTGGCAGCCAAGCTACTGAACAGGCTGAGGCAGAAGGATCAAAAGCGTAAGGTCTGCCTGGGCTGCAGGGTAAGTCCAGGGTCAGCCAGGACAACTGTCTCAATCGACTGTTTGAAAAGGTGTGAGGTTATAGTTCAAGAGCACTTGCCTGTGCACAACCCCAGGTTCCAACCCCACCATAGCAAAACAAATAATAAATGGTATGAATGAACAACCTAGCCAAAGTCAGTTCCTATGCTGTCCTAATGTGGATGCTACCTAAATAACCTGTATTAAATATCATAGTAAGACAGGTATGGTGTCACATACCAGTGAGCCCAGCACTTATATGGAGGATTGCTGAGAGTTCAAGGCCAGCCTGGTCTACATAGTGAGGTCTAGGGAAACTTGGGCTATAGAATGAGTAAGATGCTGTCTTAAAAATAAAACAATAGCTAGGCATGGTGGCACACACCTGTAATCCCAGCACTCGGGAGGCAGAGGCAAGCAGATCTCTGTGAATTCGAGGCCAGCCTGGTCTACATAGTGTGTTCCAGGCCAGTTGGGGCTACAGGGAGACCCTGTCTCAAAAAGACCAAAACAAAGAAACGAACAAACAAAATAAACAATAATAGTAACAATAGCCATACATATATACATTTCATACTTAATATTTAACATGAGTTCTAAAACCGCAAAATGATGACCTTTAGACCTAAACTGGTCATTACCCTTTAAGGAGAAACTGTTGAATGTCTGCCAAGTTACCCACACTAGGTAATATGTAGCACTTATTAAATTAGTGACTCCTTTAACTCTATAGAGAAGGGAACATTCTCCTGTGTTTAGGGTTTGCTCTGGTTTGCTCATGGTCTATGTGGAAGACTCGAGTCTCCTGTGCAATGTGATGAGGGGCGGAGCCTAGAGGCGGGAACATTCTCCTGTGTTTAGGGTTTGCTCTGGTTTGCTCATGGTCTGTGTGGAAGACTCGAGTCTCCTGTGCAATGTGATGAGGGGCGGAGCCTAGAGGAAGGTACCAGTCAAGGGCACTGGGAAGAGGGGGTACAGAGAGCTTAGCCACTCACATCTCCTTTCTCTCACAGGCCCCTTCTACCCACAGCCAGCTCCCTCTCTGCCTGTGTCATGCAGGTGTTCACAGGCTGTTTGGACCCTGGAGCTCCCAGCAGGGTGAGGCGAGTTACTGCCTGGTTTGGGCAAGGCTGGTCCCCACCGAGGTTCACGTGTTAGAGATGGAGACCTGCGTATGGCCATGTCTTTACGAGGGGTGGCTTGGTGGGAGGT